AACCATTAACTAGACTGACTAAGAAAAAAAGGAAGAAACATGAAATTACTAAAATCAGAAATGAAAGTGGAGTCTGGACATGGTGGCTTATGTTTTAATTCCAGCCACTTTGAGATGCCAAAGCAAAAAGATGAGTTGGGGCAAGGAGTTAGAAACCAGCCTGGACAACATAAGAAGACCCTGTCCCTACAAAACATTTCTATAAAAAATTAGCCAGGCATGATGGCATACACTAGGTACTCGGGAGGCTGAAGGAGGAGTATTTCTTGAGCTCAGAAGGTTGAGATTGCAGTAAGCCATGATTATGCCACTGCACTCCAGCCTGGGCTGGCCTACACAGTGAGACCTTGACCTTGTCTCTTTCTCTTAAAAAAAAAAAAAAAGAGAGAGAGAGAGACAGAAAAGTAGAGACATTATTAGCAATTCAAAAGCAATAAAATTGTAAAACTACTATGTATAATTCTATGTCAATAAATTGGATAACCTAGATAAAATGGATCAATTCCTAGAAACACGTGAAAATCTGAATAGACCTGTAATTAGTAATAAAATTGAACCACTAAAACCATTTGACAAAATTCAATATTCTGTTATAATAAAAACATTCTGACTATGAATGGAAGGAAACCACCTCGACATAATGAAGGCAATACGTGAAAAGTCCAGTGCTAACATAGTCAATGGAGAAAGACGGGCAGTTTTCCCCGTATGATCAGGAACAAGACACAGATGCATGCTTTTGTCACTTCTATTCAACATAGTATTGGAAGTCCTAGCCAGAGAAATTAGTCAAGGAAAAAAAAAGATACATTTGAAAGAAAAAGTAAAATAATCTCTGTTGACAGATAACTTGAACTTCCATGTAAAAACACTAAAGATGAAAAAACCGTTAGGATAAATTCAGTAAAGTTGCAGCATACAAAATCAACAGGCAAACATCAGTTGTGTTTCTATACACTAACAATTAACAATCTGAATTGAAATTAAGAAAAATTTTCCATTCACGTTAACAACAAAAAGAATAAATATTTTAGAATAAGTTTAACTGAGGAGTTGAAAGAATTGTACCCCCAAATCTTCAAAATAGTGCTGAAAGAAATCAAAGATGACATCAATAAATGGAAAGACGTTTCATTTTCATGGATGGGAAGACTTGATATTGTTTGGAGGACAACACTACCCAAGTGAGCTGCAGGTTCCACGCAATTCCTATCAGAATCCCAGTGACGTTTTTTGCAGAAATAGAAAAATCTGTCCTAAGGTTCATATTGACTCTCAAGACTATAAATAGACAAACAATCTTGGAAAAAAAAAAAAAGAATGAAGCTAGAGGACTCACACTTCCTGATTTCAACATTTACTAGAAAGCCACAATAGTCAATACAGTGTGGGACTGGCATAAAGGAAGACATAGAAATTAACAGAATAGAATAGAGAGCCCACAAAGAAATGCTTGCATATATGGCCAAATGATTTTGACAAGATTCCAAGGCCAGTCCACGGGGGAAAGGATAGTCTTTTTAACAAAAGATATTGGGAGAGCTGGATAGAAATGAGTTGAACCTAGCACCATTTACAAAAATTATCCCACAATGGATCAAAGAATGAAAGGGAAGAGCAAAAACTATAAAACTGTTAGAATAAAATGTAGGGAAAAAGCTTCATGACATTAGATTTCACAGCGATTTCTTGGTTATAACAGCAAAAACAGAGGCAATAAAGTAGATAAGTTGGACTTCATGAAAATTAAAAACTTTTATATATCAAAAAATTATTGAGAAAGTGAAAAGGCAACCCATGAAATGGGAAAAATTATTTGCAAATTACATATCTGATAAGGGATTAATTTCCAGACTATAGGAAGAACTACATATCAACAGCCAAAAATCCAAAAACCCAATGAAATATGAACAAAGGACTAAAATAGAGATTTCTCCAGGGAGGATATACAAATGGCCAATTTGCACTTGCATAGATGCTCAACATCACTAATACTTAGAGATATGTGAATCTAAACCACAGTGATACTGCACGCCACACACATTAGGATGGCTTTGATTCAAAAAATAAAAGGCGTGCAAGAATATCAAACAAGTATTTTCAAGTAAGTGGAAGAATTGAAACTCTAGTGCATTGCTGTTGAGAATGTGACTTGTTATAACCTCTGTGGAAAATGGTATGGCTGTTTCCCAAACAGCCATACCATTTGATCCCATTTGATCCAGCAATTCCACTCTGGACAGACACTCTGAAAATTAAAAGAAAAGCGAACAGATATTTGTACACTGATGTTCACAGCAGCATTACTGACAATAGTCAACAGGTGGAAAGAACTGAAAAGTCCATTAAAACATAAGTGAATAGGAAAATGAGGTATATCCATGCAATGGAATGTTATTCAATCTTACTTAACAAACAATACAATTCTGATACATGGTGCAAAGTGGATGAACCCTTTGTGTGTGTGTGTGTATATATATATATATATATATATAGTATATGGTATATAAAGTCTATATATATATTATATAGACTATATATAGACTATATATAGTTTATAGTCTATATATAGTCTATGTATATACTATAATCTATATAGTATATATATATAGACTATATATATTAGAGTATATTGTATATATATAGTACATATACTATATACACAATATATGGTGTATATGTCTATATAGACATACATATAGACTCATATATATACTTGTATCTATAGCCTTTATATATACTTATATATAGACTATAAAGTTTATATGGACTATGTATATATAAAG